AAACCATATAAAGTTATTTTGTTTTATGCTTTTGGTTAATTTATGAATTTAGAATCATGAAAGAAAGAGTATTTTTTTCAATGTCTTATTTATTTAATGCATTTTCTTCCTTTATATTATTTTTTAAGAGACAGGTCTTGGTGTGTTTCCTAGGCTAGAGTGCAGAAACTTCTGGGCTCAAGCAATTCCCTCAGCTCATTTTCCAGAGTAGCTAGGACAACAGGCCTAAGCAGCCATACCCAGATGATTGTTTTATTTTTATTTTGCAAAGGCAGGGGTCTTGCCATGTTGTCCAGGCTGGTCTCAAATTCCTGGCCTCAAGCAATCATCTCAACTTTGCCTCCCAAAGTACTAGAATTGTAGGCTTGAGCCACTGTGCCTGGCCTATTGTTAAACAGCCAACATATTACTGATCCATGTGACTGATTCTTTAACTAAAGAATCCATATCTTCCTCAACCATATCAAATAAGGAATTCAACTCTAATTTGATTTAGGATAGATCTACTGTATGATATTTCATTCTGCTACTAATTGTAATGATTGCATTTTCTAAGATTATAGAGATGACTGAATAAAGTACTATATGTTCTAGGAGCTTTTTTGTTAAACCTTGGTCAAGAACAAAGGTGCTATTTCTTTGTGTTACCATTGTAAACTTCTGAGAGATCCAAATGACTTTGAAACTACTTCCAAGAGAGTCAGTATGCATCTTTGTAGTAGTCCTATATATTATCCTAAGTTAGACTTATTTTTTGTCTGTTTACACAGCATTAAAATTATAATTAATGTTTTTTATATAACAATTTTCTTTTGAAAAGAAAATGTTTATGGTAGTAAAAGCCACTGGAAAATGGACAGGAAGGACTCAACCTATATATTTTAAGAACTAAGATAATTAAAATAACTACAACTTCTAAACCAAGAAAAATTAGATGAAATTGAGATAACATGTTTATTATATTGAATTTGGAAATTTCTAAAAGTATATGAAAATATATACAAATTTTGCTATGGTATTAAAGCTAATTGTCATAATAATGTAATATAAGAAATGAAATCAACAGTCATAATGTTACATTTGTCTTTCATGAATAAATGCAGTTGAAGTGATGTCATGTTGTTTCATTCAAATTGTTCAGCATTATTTTCTCATAATGTTTTCAAGTGTTTATTAGCAAATTTCAGATTAGTGATCTTTTTACAGTTTTGAAAGATTTTAAATTAATTTATAAAAATCCCTAGAAGTTGTAATTCAGCATAGTTAACCTCAGGATTATAATGTTTATTCATTGCAGTGAGACAGAAAATACCTTTATTAATTTCTATTTAAAATACTGATATGCTCAAGTTAAAATATGATTTCCTGAAATCCATTTAATTATAGTTATTAACTGTATGTAACAGGCACTGGGGTATCAAAGCTAAGAAAAGATGGTCTTTGCCATTGAGAAGCTTAAGATGAAATTGTAAACGTGGATAAATAAACGGTGTTTGTGGCTTAAGTTAATACTAGAGGTCACTTAAAAGAAGAAGACCAGCTCCAAAATGAGAGGGGATGGGCAGGGGATGTTAGGGATGGCATTCTGGAAGGGGCAACATTATTACAGTGGAGTGGAGTGTTGCCATGTAGATACACAGGTAGTGCACCCTAAGCAGGTGGACCCACATCTACCAAGACCCCAAAGGTGAAAGTGAACAGATAATGGCAGTCATCAGTGGCTGAGTGAAATGTCATGAGAGGAATCATGAATCTGGAGGTGCAGAGAACATTTAGACACTGAAGAATATTTCTAAAAAGTACGGGTAATCCTGACCTAGAGATAGTTTATATTGTCCTCATTTAGTTAGAAAGCTCTCAGGAGGAAGTAAAAGATGTAAAAAAGAACATGAAATCTAAAGAATTTTAATCTCTGATAGATTTTCTATCTCCTCCAGATCATCCCGTTCAATGTGCAGATTTCTCTTAGTTTCTATGATATTTTTACTGAAAGAAATCAGGCAGACATATCAGAAACTTTGTGGAAATCTGGTTATTTCCATTAAGAATTTAGAAGCAAGGATTACTACTGTATTTTTTCTGAAATTTTTAAAATAAGTTTTGGAATATTTGCAAAAGAGAGTTGGAACTTAGTCACTCATTTTTAATGCTGATGCAAATGCAGCAAAATTGAAAAAAGCCAATAAATATTCCACTATAATGATTGTCACCATCTTGACATTAATGTGTTGACATTCATAGGTTAACAACAAGCTGCAAAGCTGATGGTTGATAATGTTCTAATCAGAACCAAATTCTTCAGTAGGCCCTGGATGGAAATAAATGTTGTGTATAAATGAAAAAAAAAATCACAGCTGAGAAATGACATTAATTAAAACATTTTAAAAAGCAAAATCATGAAAAAATGTATTATTCATTATATCCACTTTGGAAATTCTAAGTTGTAAGGAATGTGAGACATCTTTGTGAAAAATTTCAAAAGCTAAAATTTCTCTGTTTACATTTTAAGTTTTCTATGAAGCCCTGCAAAAATGCTGAAATATTTTAGGAGTGGTTCTCATAAAGTTTGTTTTAAATTCAAATTCATGTAGAGAAAAGGACACCCTTGCACACTATTTATAGGAAGGTAAATTACTATAGCTATTATAGAAAACAGTAGAGGGGTGGGCAGTGCCTGTGGCTCAAAAGGGTAGGGTGCCGGTCCCATATGCTGGAGGTGGTGGGTTCAAACCCAGCCCCGGCCAAAAACTGCAAAAAAAAAAAAAAAAAAAAAAAAAGTAGAGAAGGTCCTCAGAAAACTAAAAATAGAATTACTATGTAATCCAGCAGTTCTACTTTTGTGAGTATAGCCAAGGGAATTGAAATCACTCCTACGACTACTGTAGTGTTAGTTACAATGGCCAACATATGGGGCAAACCTGTGTCCATCAATTGGTGAATGGATAAAGAAAATGTGGCATATATGTGCAATGTATTACTATTCAGTTTTGCGGAACAATGAAATTATGTTGTTTGTGAGAATATGGATTAAACTAGAGAACGTAGGCTCAGCAAAATAAGCTGGCCCAGAAAGACAAAACTGCATGATCTCACTTACATGTGTAACCGTAGAACTCAAGTAGAGAGCAGAATGGTGCCTACCAGAGTCTAGGGGCCAGAGGAAGAGGAAGATGTTCAAAGGGTGCAAAGTTTCAGTGAGGCAGGAAGAGTGAGTTTCAGTGATTAACTGTACAGCATGTGACTGTAATCAGTAATATATATTTCAAAATTGGTAAAAGTAAATTTTAAATGTTCTCACCACAAAAAAAAGAATCATATATATATGAAGTGACAGGTATGTTAATCAGCTTGATTTAATCGTTTCACAGTATATACACATATATTAAAATATCACATTGTACCCCACAAATAGCACAATCATTTATCTATTAAAAATAAAACCAGTTCACAGATTAACTCAGATTTGGTGATTGCAATTAAAAATTATCCAGTAAAAATCTTATAATGCAAATCTGTTAGATTTTATAATTTTGGGGGGGCACAATATCAAATAGTTAAAGATGTGTATCTGAAAGAAAATAATTTCCATTTTTATTCAGGGAAATGAAAGCATTTTACTTGATCAATTCTAATATCTATAAGGGCAATAAAATGGAAGATATGTAGTTTTGTGTAGTATTTATTACTGTTTAGTCAGGTAGTTTGGGTTGGAAAAATATAACATGAACAGTGTCTTACTCAATTTGACGAAGAAGGAATAGACATTACACTTGAATGTTACATTACTCTTAAATTAAAATAAAAAGCAAAAGGAATGGGAACAAAATTAGGTACAATCGAAAAATCTGTAAAAAATAGCAGTCACCAAGATTAGCTGTACAACTAGGAGTCCCTGAAGTGGAAACTGATTTAGACTTTGAGCTGCGGCAATTCTTGGCTGTTCACCATAGCAAGAGCAGTATGTTCCAGGCTGATTATGAGCTGAACCGGTAGTTAGATAATGCTTAGTTTCTTATTTCTGGTTTACCACTTGTTATCTGAGTGACATTAGGCAAGTTTCCTTTCTCCTGTATATCCATGGTGATATTACCTTCTTCTGGGGTTATATGCAATACAAGATAATCTCTGGAGAAGTACTTGGTACATCAACTGTAGACGAACTTAGCTACCACCTTCTGTAACCCCCTTCTTCCTCTTTCTTCTTTACCATTGCTACCCTGAGAGTGGTTCATAAATTTTCTGTGTTTCTGATGCTCTCAGTATTTATTTCCACTTTTCTCCAGATTACCAATTGATTTTTCTTTTTTATTCAGGTCTTTTCCTCAGTGCATAGCTGTGGTTCCTTTATAAGTTGAGCTTGTTTATAATCCTATTCTGTATCATTAATGGTTTTGTTTCTTCTGCTAATAGTTATCTCTGAGTTTCTAAAATCAAACTCCAAGAAGAATCTGTCCCAATGGGTTTATCTTTGAGGGGAGATACTAAGTGTTATAGGGTTTGTGTTAGCACATACCATTGTCTGGTCTCTGATACTGTTAAGCTTGGGTCATGTGGTATAAAATGTTGCATCTGGTCTTCTTCCACAGGGATAGTGGGGAGCATTTATGTAGAGGGCAGTGATCATGGAAGTCATATCCCTACTGCATCTAAATAAATAAATATAAAAATATTAAACAACTTACTAAAAAATAACCTACCAAAATCACAGAACCAATTGTGTGTGGTAAGGCTGGGTCTTAAGTAATGAACCCAACACTCTTGAGTAGACTTTACATAATTTTGTTAATCTAGATATTTTGGTATCACTGTACAATTGCTATACAAATTATTGGATCATTTTGTCACTTCAAATTAAAAACAATTCTTATTAGAATTTTATTATATCGTTTTAGTAGAAACCAAATTCTATGCTACTTCTTGAAAAACAACATTTTGTTTTAAAACGTTTTATTTAAAATTGGATTCTGTTGACTCATTCTTTTTGTTTTAACTCTTCTCAGGCTGCTAAGTTGGCTATCACAGTGCAAGCTTGGGAGTCCCAATGGGGGACTCAGGATCAAGAAGATCTACCTTGGTTTCCCGGTTGCCAATATTCAGAAGAAGTATTAGTAGAAGACATGATTCCCTTCCTTCCTCACCTTCTTCCAGCAACACAGTTGGTGTCCATAGCTCCTCTCCTTCCAGCACTAACTCAAGCTCAGGTAGCACAGGTAAACGCAGAAGCATATTCCGTACCCCTTCCATTAGTTTCCACCATAAGAAGGGGAGTGAACCTAAGCAAGAACCTACCAATCAGAACCTTAGTATTTCAAATGGTGCTCAACCTGGTCACAGCAATATGCAGAAACTGAGTTTGGAAGAACATATTAAAACTAGGGGAAGACATTCTGTTGGTTTTAGTAGTTCACGAAATAAGAATATAACAAGATCATTGACAGAGGATTTTGAAAGGGAAAAGGAGCACTCAACTAATAAGAATGTCTTTATAAATTGTCTGAGCTCTGGCAAGAGTGAGGGGGATGATTCTGGATTCACAGAAGAACAAACACGCCGTTCTGTCAAGGAGTCAACGAGGAAGCTACTCCCTAAATCTTTCTCGTCTCACTATAAATTCTCAAAACCGGTTCTACAGAGCCAATCCATTTCGTTGGTACAACAGTCTGAATTCTCGCTGGAAATTACACAGTACCAAGAGAGAGAACCTGTATTGGTAAGAGCTTCCACACCTTGTTCTGTGGAGGTAACAGAACGGGCTGGCAGCTCTTTACAATCTCCTTTGCTTTCTACTGATCTTACCACTGCTCAGACACCTTCAGAATTTTTAGCCTTGACTGAAGATTCTGTGTCTGAAACGGATGCGTTTCCCAAAAGTGGAAGCCTAGCATCCCACTGTGACAACTTTGGCCACAATGATTCTACCTCTCAGATTTCTCCCAATCCTGCTGCTGCTACAAAGACAACAATAGAACGTGTAGGAACTGTTCCCTGTGCAATTACGCCTCCTGGGAAATACAGGCTAGAAGGTCGATGTAGCACTGAATCTAATTCCTCGCCAGAAGCCTCTGCTGCTAATCAGAAGGAAGTATTACTGCAAAGCACTGAACTACCTGTTATGAATCTGAGCAACTCAGAGACTAACCTACCAGCAGACACTGAAAGGCAAGAAAGTCCAGGGTTACAAAATGGTGAAACAATACTGGGGACAAGCTCCCCGAGGAAACTGGGGTTTTATGAGCAGCATAAAACAATAGCTGAACGTGTTAAAGGGATCCATCCTATTTCAGATTCAAAGATAATCCCCTATTCCGGTGATCATCATATTTTTAACAAAACTTCGTATGGATATGAGTCAAATCCTGCCAAAGGTATGCTGATTTTCTTTGTATATAAAAGGGTATGAATTTTCATTATGATCTGTTCAGTTTTTTTATTCCATCTCATGAATGGAAACCACATTTTCCTTATTTTTCACTCTTTACATTCTGTCCTGTTTGTTTTAAATATTTCTACTGCTTGGTTTCTACTGCTGACCTCAGTAACATTATGCTGACAAGGTATTTTAGCCATATTATTTAGTTTTCTTAGTTATATTACCCAGATTCTGAGCTTCAGAAGAAAAAGGAAGGAAACAAATTCTGTTTACAATGTGGTTTTATTTAAAATAAGGGCTATACTTTTTACAGTTCTTTATAGAGGTATTGGTATTTTTTATTTCATGCAATTGGTGTATTCCAGCCAAAATCATTATGAAAATTTGTATAATTAAATTCCCTTTTCTGTGTTAACAAAGCTTTCATTATTACTGAGAATCCATGTTTCAGCATAAATTCTATTTCTAGATGCAAGAGAATTACAAGCTTTAAAAATGCTGTTCTCGAAAGCTGGAAATCTGGGTTCCATCCTTACCTCTGACATTAACCAGCTGTTCAACATTGGACACCTTCTCTTTCTTTTAGAAGAAAGCAGAGTATGTGTGAATTACTCTAATATGGCTCCAGAATAAAACTTCATTTAAAGTACAACTTGGCTTAAGAAAATTGTTGACCTTGTAACAAATACTGGAAATTATTTTATTAGACATTATTTTTTATTCCTTTTTACTCTGCTGTCATTTCTTCTGCTTCTGCTACTACTAATTTTTCCAAATTTGAAAATGATTATAATGTCCTAGATGCTATTCTATTTGCTTGCATACATTAACGTAAAAATGATTGAAATTGGAGAATAGATCCATTTATTGTCCATAGTCAGAGGGTTAATAGGTGATATGTTGGGATGTAAACCCTGTGAGGAGTAGGCCTTTATTCTTCCCATTCTACACATGTGGAAACTGAGGCTAAGGGGTCACACCACCGGTAAGTAGCACATTCAGATCGACAGCCTTCTGAAAAGGGTAGCTCAGGCTTTTCATAACATGCTTTAGTACATATCATGGCCTAAAATATCAAATAAAATTTATATGAAGTTCAAAATTTAAATGAAGTCAATTTATATAAAATGTTAATATGTAAAGAGGCATAGGATTATATAGTCCCTCAATAATCATATCAGTATTAAAGTTTTAAATACATGATTTAGTTCTCCATCTTTCCTAATATTTTTCATATTTGATATAACATAGCTTTTATGCTCCTGAATACTGTTCTTCATTTTTAAAATGTTGTGGTCTGTTCTTACTCTTGGGTCTAGTTCTATCTACTTCTTTACCTATGCACATATAGGTATCATTACCTATGAAAATTAATGATAATGATGACTACGTCGATGATGGTTAGCCTTTCTGTATACTTAATATATGCCCCAAAATGTGCTAAGAAATTTATGTGAGCTGTTTTATATGATCTTACAAAAATTTTGCATGAAGGTTATTAATAACTAACTAAATAACTAAATAATAAATTATAACTAGATAAAATTTAAGATTACATTAAATAACTTTACAATCACATCATTAACAAGTGATGGATTTCAACTGGAAACCAGGCAGTTTTTTAAAATGTCCAAAAATTGCAATTTTAGAAATGTCAAAAATGCAATTATACTTATATATCCAATTCTTATTTACCAATGAGGACTTTCCTCCTAAGTAAATATTGTGTACCCTTATTTCTCTGGAAACTGGTTAATGACCAATAATTATCTTGTTGACTATTAATCTGTTGACTAAGATCCCAATTGTAAGACATTAACACATTATTTTTACAGATTTGACTATGTGTTGCCAATAATAAGCTGGTATTATCAACAAGGAAAAGATGACAGTATGTTATCCTTTTTATTTTTTGAGAATATTCTTGTGCTATTCATAAGGATTTTATACTTTAGAAATTCACAATTTTTTTTTTTTTTTGAGACAGAGTTCCACTTTGTCACCCTGCATAGAGTGCTGTGGTGTTATAGCTCACAGCAACCCCAAACTCTTGGGCTTAAATGATTCTCTTGCCTCAGCCTCCCAAGTAGTTGGGACTATAGGCACAATGCCCCACTATTTTTTGTTCCAGTTGTCATTGTTGTTTTAGCTGGCACGGGCTGGGTTCAAACCTGCCAACTTCAGTGTATGTGGCTGGTGCCGTAACCATTGTGCTATGGGCACCGAGCCAGAAATTCACAGTTTTAAAACCAGATAAGTAGCTGGTTTTAGTAGCAGCTTTCTTGCTTAGTACCAACGAAAATAATTTTATGGTTGGGTGTCATCAAACTGTATTAAAGGGTCGTGGCATTGGGAAGGTTGAGAATCACGGAGTTAAGTAGATGTATTTTAAAAGTAAGAAAGAGTTGCTATACCCACTAAATTTCATAATCCTAGATTTATTTTGTATCTGTTATGAAACATTTACTCTAGTATTTACTACACATCCAAGTATTTTAGGTGTACTAGCATATGACATTTACTAATATAATGTTGAGCTCTCTGGAAATTGAATTTTTATTCAATTGCTTTAAAAGTTATGTAAAAACAACTGCTACATGTTTGACTAATAGGTTCCAGGTAGTTTTTTAAGTAGTAGAGGAGCCGAAATAGGACAATTCACTCATTCACAAATTCATTCAACAAATGTTTATTACTTTAGCACTGTTTTTGACACTAGGAATATAGCAATGAACAAAACAGATCTAAATCCTTACCTTCATGCAGCTTATTTCTTCCTTCTCTCCCTTCCTTCCTTCTTCCTTCAGACTGAGTCTCATTCTGTCCCCCTGGGTAGAGTGCTGTGGCATCATCATAGCTCACAGTAACCTCAAACTCTTAGGTTCAAATGATCCTCTTGCCTCAGCCTCCTGCGTAGCTGGGACTACAGATACCTACCACAACTCCTGGCTAATTTTTCTATTTTTAATAGAGACAGGGTCTCACTCTTGCTGAGGCCGGTTTTGAATACCTGAGTTCAAGCAGCCCACCTGCCTCAGCCTCCCAGTTTACTAGGATTATAGGTGTGACCCACCACACCCACACCCGGCCCTTGAAGCTTGTTTTTGACAGGTGATACTCAGGCAATTAACATGCAATTAAATAAAATAAATACCAGATGATGACAACTGCGGAGGATAAATTCAAAACTGAATTAAGGATTAGGATGTAGGATCGCAGTTCGCAGTTTTTTTATTTTTATTTATTTATTTAAATTTTTTTTTGAGGCAGAGTCTTACTATGTCAACCTGGGTGAAGTACCATGGCATCACAGCTCATAGCAAACTCATGGGCTGGGATTCTCTTACCTCAGCCTCCCAAGTAGCTGGGACTACAGATTCCCACCACAATGCTCGGCTGTTTTTTTTTTT